GATGGTCCATAACATTTTCTCAGTCTTTCCTTGTTTTTGATGACCTTGACAGTTTTGAGAAGTACTGGTCAGATATTTTGTAGCATGTCATATTGGGTTTGTCTGTTGTCTTTCTCATGGTTGGACTGGGATTATGGGTTTTTTGGAGAGGAATATCATAGTGGTGACATGCCATTCTCAGCATATCGTATCAGTGGCATATACTATCAACAGTGACTATTGACCAGTGATATTAACCTTAATCCCTAACCAGAGGCAGTGTTTATCAAGTTTCTCCACTTAGCAAATCATTAAGCATGGTCTACACTCATGGGTGGGAGTGGGTTGGGGTTATAATCTGCCTCCTGAAGGAGGATATATCTACATAAAGTACGAGTAATTTTTCTGTAAGAGAGATTTGTCTCCCCACCCCCCCCCCATATTTATTCAGTCAGTTATCTATGTCAGTATGGACTCATGGGAATTTGGTTTATACTTTGGGTTATAATCCAATACTATGTTATTTATTTTGGCCATTGGGAGCTCTTTCTGGTTGGTTCCTGTGTCTTTTGGACATACCCTATCCTTTTCTTTTCCTTACTTTCTGGCAGTACAAGAAGCTCTAGATTCAACTTGTATATTCCCTGCCCCAGCCCTAGAATCAGCAATTTCTCCAAGAAGCCCTGATTCCTCTTACTGGAGAGTGGTATTAGAACCCAAGACCTGGGTCTGAGGGCCTATCTCCAATTTTAGTAGTTAATGCCAACAGTCCCAAAGTGGTTTTACTAATTTACACTTCAGCTCTTGGTCAAATTTCCAATGAAATTTTTTGCTGGTTTTGGTTTATCTTTTGTGTTTGAATTCTTATGGACAAGAGGTTTTAATTTCAATATAGTCAATAATATATTGCCTAATATTTATCCTGATTCTTGATCGTTTGCCTTATTGTACCCATGCTGGTAAGTCCCTCCTCTCCTGTGGTGTTATGAATGTTCTTAGCTGTTCCCCCGCTCTGGTTTGAAGTATTACTGTTTTAGTGATTTATTATAGCTCAGAGTTATTCTGTGACAGTATTAATTTTTATCTGAATAGTTTACAAATTGTTCAAATAATCTGCACTGAATTCCCTTCCCAATTACGGTATTTCTTCTATTATACATTAAAATCTCCTGGGATTGCCTTTTCTGAGCTACCTACTCTGTTTTTGATTTGTTCATTATGGTGATATCACAGGGAAGGATTGATGAGTTGTACACTCAACAATAGAGGGTAAGGCTTTAGAAGTGGTTTCAACTGGGG